AACCTGAAGGGGGCGCCAGACGGCAGGCAGCCCCTATCCATACAAAAGGCTGGATACCGGGAATCTTATCAGCTCGATTCATCCTCTTAGTCTTTACCTAAAGCTCGATTCATCGTCTATGTCAGTTATCAACTCGATTTCATCGCCTCCGTCGCAGATCTGAGCTCCAATTCATCCTCTGATCTCAGTTCGATTTCATCCCTTCCGTCGCACATCTCGGGTTGATTTAACTTTCTCCGTCGCACAGATTAGGTCGATTTGTCCTCCATTATTGCTCAGTTCGATTTCATTCTATATGTTGCATAGTTCATATCAATTTCATCTCTACTCAAGTTTTTTCTGAGATTTATGTTATCTTTATGCGATTTAGGTTCTCTCAAGTTTTTTTCTATGAGATTTATAACTAGTCTCTCAAGGTTTTCTTTATGCGATTGTTTGGGTTCTCGGCAGCGATAAAGCTATTCTCGGTGGTGAGGGGGAAGCGTGTTATTCAGAATGTTTTAGTATCTCTCTGGGTTAGAAATTGTGCGTCTCTACCTGATTCCTTAGAATGGTTTTTGTTGTGTAAACTGATGATGATTTCATGCCCTCCAGGTGTTCGACGAATTGCCTCATTATTGGTTGCTTGTTTCTTGACGTTGTTTGGCGTTCTGTAAGCTGATTCCTATTAGATATATCTCATCTGATATTAGTATTACTAGTTTTAAGAAAATTTTCAGTAGTTTCCTTTATATTGTTCTTTTAGTTCTTTTAGTTTGAGTTCTTTTAGTTCTTTTAGTTTCTTGACATTGTTTGGCGTTCCGTAAGCTGATTTCTTTTATATTGTTCTTTTAGTTCTTTTATCTGATTACGTTTTAGTTCTACTGATATTATATTGTTCTTTTGGCTTACTAATGGATGGATTCTTTATTCAGCTTAAGGGGTTAAGTTAAATTGCAATTAAGCAATGGTTAGAGAATGGGGTTCGAAGCATGTTGGTGGTAGAGGCGCCGCCTCTGGTCAGAACAATGCCATAGATCAAATTGAAAGGTATGTTATGTACAGCTTATTACATTTAGTTCATTATTGCACTTAGTTATGGATCATTATTGAATCTGGTGTGACTAATTTGATTGTTGTTTTCTTTCGTGTGTTTTATATTGTGAAGTTACGAATGTAAAATTTGTCTAAAGGTGCATAACAACGAAAGAGACTACTTATCGCATCTTCACGGTAAGAGGCATCACACCAATTTGTATGATATAGTCAACTTAGCATATCAATTGAATATTATGGAAACAACTCATTTTGTGAAACAACAATTGGTTTTGTTGCACTTGTCATCTATTATTGTTATTGATATTTGCTTTTTTCATATTCAGCTCATTTTCAAGAGAAAAAGTTCAGAGATGAAATGAAAACAGAGGTACGCAAATGTTTTATTACTTGATGTCCTTATGTAGCTTTTAAATTTGGGTACTTTTGTGCAGAACACTTCAGATAATGATCTTTATGATTCAGAATTTTCTGGTAAGTACTTTTTTCTCTTATGCTCTTGCTAAATCTGTACATGTTAATCATTTGTATCAAATCTAATATGTTTTGTTTCAATTGATTATCATAACCTCCTGATTTAAGTAAATGGTTTCCGGACTATGTCTATGAATCCCCGATGTTGGATACATGTTATGGTTTTGAATTCTCTGACCTTAAAGAAAGTGAAAGTATAAAGGATTTGGAAATTAAGAAAGAGACACCAACAAAAATCGATGACTTAGTCTCTTCTAAGATTGATGATATGACTGACTCGCAAGCTGCATATTCAGGTGAGCAAATATATGATGGAGCTGGACACTTTGATTGTTGTGTTTCTTTTATTGATCTTATTTCTTAATCTACTTGTATGTTTGTGTTGTTGGAGTAACATAAGTTTGTTCTCTTTTGATTCTTAATACTCATAATGTTTGTGATGTTTCTATTTAGACTCTATGCGTTTGCTTAAGATTTTACTTTGTTTTTTTGGAGGATTGAGTTTTGAGATACTGAGCATGTCAATCTGATAGTAAAAGGCAATGTTTATTCTCTCTCGTTTTCAACATGAAACGTAGCCTGCTTTCTTCCCGTTTCCACAGCTCTGTAAAGTTGTAAATTAGGACATGTCGAAATTAGTTCGGGTATTTCTCGGGTTTTAAATTCAATACCCGAATATACCCAAACCCGAATAAAACCGAACCGAACCCGACCCGAAATTATATATATACCCATTTGGTTCCTCTTAAGCAAGACCCGAAAATACCCAAACCCGAATTACCCTACCCGAACCTGACCCGAAGACCCAAACGCCCATGCCTATTTGTAACCTTCTCTAAGGTTTTAACCAACTCCGGTTTACTAAGCTTCTGATTTCGTCTAGGTTGTCTTCAATCCTAGATCCAATCTGAACACATGCTAAACTAGAAATTCAACATCAATAAAGAGGTTTTGGATTTTAATGTTTATTCATTTCTCAGATTCAAAAAGCTCCAATGGAATCACCTGTAAGACAAGACAAAGCTCAGAGAAATTGTTTGAGGAAACAAATCGATCTAGCATTACAGAGATTCTGTGACTTTCACGTAAAACAAATCAATCTCTTTAAACTTCTAACTTCCACAAGAACAAGAAGACCACCTTTTCTTGTAGTGATCTTGTTACGTGTTAAAAGTAATAACTATTCAATTATATTGAATAAAAATCGCAGGTTAATAAGGTTCAAGACTTAGTGACTTACTTGAGGAGCAGGCCTGTTGAGGAGCAACCATTGGATTGCGGATCGGAGTATACAATCTTTACGTTGTTAAGATTTTCTAATTAAAATCACATAGATCTCATATATTTTGTGTATAGTATAAGTGTATAATATATACATTTTTTTTTTTACACCGACATATATAGTGTTTTTCAATCCTCTCGTAAGAATAAAAAATTCGAGCATGGTTATCGCCACTTATTACGGATACCACGTATTATTGCCACTTGCAAATTATTCAGTCAAATATGGTCAACTTTGTGTTTAAAAGGTTATTTTACTAAGAAAAACGTGTTACAAAGGATAAAAAAATGCAAAGAAAAAATGAATTGAGATCTCGAGAGACAAGACTCTCCCTTTATTAATAGTGTACCAATTGCTTCTCTCAATATCACCACACTACACAAACACAACCATGAACTCTTGCTCATTCACTCTTTTCATCTTGGCCGCCATTATCTTTCTCCGGTGTTTAAGTTCCACTAGAGCTGCCACATGTCATCCTGATGACGAGGCAGGTCTCTTAGCCTTCAAATCGGGTATAACCCGAGATCGTTTGGGCATTTTTAGCCAGTGGAAGAAAGGTACTCCATGTTGTTCATGGATGGGTGTCATTTGCATCACCAACGACCGCGTCACCACACTGAGAATAAGCGGCTCTACCGTTCTTGGCCAAAGCGTCGTTTCCGGCACAATCTCACCGTCTCTGGCCAAACTTCAGCACCTCGAGGGGGTTTACTTTACCTATCTTCAAAATATTACAGGGTCTTTTCCCCAATTTCTTTTCAAATTACCAAAGTTAAAGTATATTGACTTAACGGGTACTCGCCTCTCCGGTCCCCTTCCGACTAACATCGATGCGCTAAGCCAGTTGGAAGAGTTAATTCTGGAGGACAACCAGTTCACTGGTCCAATCCCGACTTCAATATCTAATTTGACTCGGTTAACTTGGTTCAGTCTCCGTGGAAACCGCATCTCTGGCACCATCCCAGATATTTTCAAATCCATGACGCAGCTTGGATTTCTCGCTCTCTCCCGCAATCGATTATCCGGGAAACTTCCTCCGTCTTTTGCATCGCTTGCGCCAAGTCTCGTGGTCCTCGAACTAAACCAAAACAATCTCTCGGGGAAGATCCCTAACTATTTATCAAGATTCAAGGAGATGTCCTCATTGTATCTCTCCAAGAATCAATACTCGGGGGTCGTGCCAAAGAGTTTCGCCAATATGACCAAACTTAATCATCTTGACCTCTCCCACAATCTTCTAACCGGTCCATTCCCAGACTTGAAGATGATCGATAACATTATTTACGCTTTGGATCTATCGTACAACCGATTCCACCTAAAAACAATACCGAAATGGGTGACCTCTTCACGATCCATCCACTCGTTGAAGCTAGTTAAATGCGGGATCAAGATGAGATTTGAAGATTGGAAGCCAGAGGGAACAAAACTTTTTTCCGACATCAATCTTTCAGAAAACGAGATCTCAGGGAGTCCAACATGGTTTCTTAACAACGCAGAGAATCTTATGGAGTTTCAGGCATCAGGGAACAAACTCCGATTTGACATGGAGAAGCTGAAATTCAAAAAATCGTTGAGACTATTAGATATGTCAAGGAACTTGGTATTTGGGAAGGTACCAGCGACGGTGGCTGGATTGGAAAAACTCAACTTAAGTCAAAACCATCTTTGCGGAAAGCTTCCGGTGACAAAGTTCAAGGCCAATACGTTTGCTGGTAACGACTGTCTCTGCGGCTCTCCACTTTCTCCTTGTAAAGCTTAGCCGCATGAAAAACTATAACTTCGTATTTTTGGATTTACTTTGACACTCTCTAGTCTCTACATAAAAATATTGTATTGATAATAACAAAGTAATTGTAAGATACGAAGTTATGAATATGCATTATTTTTTTCATGCACTTGAAATGTTAGTATAATTAAACATGAGGACGTGGGCTAAATGCAATTGTAAGATCACCAAACAGTTTTTCTTAGAAAGAGGAACTGAACAACTGATCATTGTCCTTGTCAATGGTTCTATCGACTTAAAATGATACAAAGAATTAATGTGTCCCATGTCGTGCTTCAGTGACTGAAAATTGAAACTTCAATGTCGTTCTATCATCTTGATTCGATGTCCACCACATGACCGACGTCATCCATATTAGCAATCCATATAATTAAGAGGTGGAACAATCTTATTAATTACAAACCTTATCAGTCGTCTAATGCGCGTGTTAGGGTATTGAAACTCTTTTCTTTTATTTTTTGGTCAGTGTGTAAACTGCAAACAAAATTATTATTTTCGCTTGTAAGCTTCGGAATAAAAATAAAAATATTACTTATATACATGATAAAAATTGATGAAAAGACCAGAGTAGTATTCAAATACAAATGCTCCAACAAATTTGTGTAGTTTTGGTTTGCATGGGGATGATTTGATTCTTTGGGGAAAAGTAAAAAAATTGATTATATTGGATACACTCAAAATTCAACCTAAGATTATATTGGAGACCAAGAAGGGGACAATTGCTTTTTCTAGACCATTTGGTGGTCTTGAATGCAAAACTAGACCCCATATTCCTTTTTTGAGAAACATAACCACTAATGGCAGTGAAATTACAGTTGACTCCACTAAGAGCACCATTATTGGTGGTATCTTAGATGGTTCTTAGCTTATTATCTTAGAATTAAATATTGAAAAATAAATCAAAACAGGTTAAATGCTAAGATTTGACTATTAGCTAAGAGCTTTTGGGAGTGTTAAGAGCTAAAATTTGATTCTTAACTTACAAAAACCAAAATTTTAATATTAAACAATGTTAAGAGCTAAAGCTAAGAATCCACCGTTAATGATGGTCTAAGACCAAACAAAAAACAGAAGCCGAAATGACAGATGTACCCCGAGAGAAGTCAGCAATATATGTCAATCTGGTTGATTACAAATTTAAGTCTACTCCTTAATTAAAGTTTAAATTTTAATTAGAAAAATTATAAAAATATAATTTGATAAAACTATTGATCAAATAATAACAACATAGACTTCCTGCATTGAAATAAAATATATTTACATATAAACTAGTCGATTTAGGAAAGGTTGATTAAGCTAAAATTATTTGATTTAGGGTTTGCTTAAGTAGACTTCTCTGTACACTATTGGTGGTTGACTTTGTTTTGCCATCAACCATAACCGACAATTTATCCAAACCGATCGGTTTTCTCGGTTTAAAGGGTACACATATAAAAACTAAAAAACCCTAGATCTATTTCATTATTCTCCGCCTACCACAAAAAAAAAAAACCCTAGATCAGTCTCTCCTTTTCTCTCCTTCTCACACTAAAAACCCTAGATCTATTTTGCTCTTCATCTCTGTTTCTTTCACTCTCTTGTTGTTTCACTCTCATCTCAGCCACCGTCATCCTCTCTCCCTCCAAGGTAATTTCTCTGCTTTGTTTTTCTTTGTCTCAGTTGGTCCTTATCTAAAATCTGCTTCAAAAATGGAAAATTGCTTTGGGTTGTTGTAATTGTGATTTGGGTTGTTGATTTGAAGCAATAATGACCAATTTTGGATTTCTTTTTCTCTGTTGTTCACTTGTAAACCCAGAATCTGATCTTAAATTAGAAGGTTTATTTTTTTGTGGAACACTTTACAGATTTTTAGAAGAATTGGAGCAAAAAGGTAAAAAAAAAAAGCTCATTTAACTTAAATTTCAATCATGATCTTGCTTGTTCTTGTTTGTGTTTTGCAAAGTTGTCATTTTAATTCTGCTTTGATTTTATTATTTCAGTAACATTGCTAGGAAAAGGAGCCAGTCTTGAAAGTGTACCATGTCTCCCACGCCAAAATCACTTGGAGGTGGAGTTTGAAGAAATGAAGGAGTTGACGGATAGATGCAAGGTCAACGGTTTGGTCAATTGCAAAAATAGACCACACCGTAGACTTCGAGTTATTGTCTCTGCGTAGAGGCTTGTTGATGTCTACTCGTATGACATCTACATGAAGTCGGCAAAATTTGAAAACTAATTTATTGCAAATTGGTGAATAATTTTTAAGATTTTCTTCTTGTATTCTTTGAGGAATAATTATGGTTTTGATATCGATGGTTGACTAATGGTGGCGGCGGCTGCGTCCTCACTCTATTACCAACCAGTATCCTTTTTTCAGCAATATTTTTTGGTCATTTTGGGTTCTTGATTCTTGAATTTTGATGAAATCTCTCCACAAAACGAACTTGTTTCAGGAACGGTGGTGGACAAAGTGGTGGAGGAGCTCGAGCAGCGGTTTTCAGTGCTTCACGGCATCAATCGGAGCTCAGATACACAATTGATCAAACCAGAAAATCATATCTTTGGCCTCTCACCATTTCTCAACTTGTTCTTGTATACTTCAAGAAGGCTGCAATTAGAAAATCCAAAGAGTCGATTGGTAATGTATTATTGGTATTGTTGGATTGGTAATGTATTGTTCGATTGGTAATGTATTATTGGTTTGAGATTTGTTTGAGAACTGTGTTAAATCAGGTTTCATGGTCGTATAACAAAACAATAAAGTAAAACCTCTATAAATTAATAATGTTGGGACCATGATATTTTATTAATTTATAGTGATATTAATTTATAACGTAAATTAATATTTATTAATTTATAGAAAGTTTTGTTTCAATGTGAAAAGTTTTTTAAAAAAATACGAGCTAAAGCAATGTGATCTAGATAAAATTAATGTTTTGGATGTTATAAATTTTATAGTTTTAGCCTTAAACACTTAATATTTCGAAGAAAAACTAATTTATTTTGACAATGAATAACAACGATTATAGAATTCACATATACAAACGATATACATAAATTAAAATTCACAAATAGTGACATCCATTGTTGTATTTGAAAAATCTATACGACTATTAAAACAAAAATTATGCATATTCAAAATTTGAAAACTTACAAAAACTTTTAGCTATTTTTATGAAAACACTAAAACTATTATATATATATGTGCATATTTACATGATTATTAATTTATGATATTATTGTGACTATATTTTTACATACAGATTTCAAAAAACTTATTATCTTATTATCTTATCGTGTTTATTAATTTATCTAGTATTAATTTATAGAGGTTATACTGTATAGCTATCATAAGATCAAACAATAACATATGAAAACAATGCTATCATATAACATTTATAGCGTTAATGCAAAATGCTATTGTAAGATAGACCAATCAATAGCAAATCAAAAACAATGCTATCATATGTGTCATATACCATAGCAATAAACAAACGCTATAATATGTGTGCGACCTATTATAACTGTCGCAAACACAGCGTTTGATAATGCGCTATCAATCACTTTTGATAGCATTAATCGTATGCTAACAATATTAATATTTCTTGTAGTGACAATATGAAGATCATCATAAAATATAATTACGAATCACAAAAGAAACTTTTGATACCCAAGCATATAAAAAAAACTATTGGACAAATATAATTACAAAATCAATACAAAGCAATAATACGCATATAAAATATATAATATAACAGAAAGAAACACAAACATTTAAATAGGTAAATATATGTAGAATATACCAACCAAATCTATAAAAATACCTTTCCAAACTCGCTCTATTCTTGTCAACACCACCTTCGTTCGAAAGCTTTGTCAATGGAACCTCCCACGTTCTACAAAACTGAAACACATACCAAAAGAATCAAATCAGCAAAACAATAAATCAACGAACTAATACAAAAAATAAAACAAACAACAAACAATATGCACACTACCTCTAAAGGTAAATGAAAACAATATATGCATGACAAACAATTTGATTCATCAGAATCGCAGCTATATAATAAAAACTATAACGGTGAAAACTATCTAATGGGCACAGAAAAAAATAATACCTAATTCTCTGGCCGATCAACAATATATATAGCTTTTAAATTAGGGCAAACATCAATCATTATCTTAAGAATTTTAACTTTTTAATTAGAAACTAAATCAGAAAACTAACAAAAACGAATATTAACTACTAAGATATAGAATTTATCCAAAAATTAACAAATAAATTTAACTTTTTACTTAGAAACTAAATCACAAAACTAACAAAAACGAATATTAACTACTAAGATATAGAATTTATCCAAAAGATTAGCAAATAAATTAAAGTTAACATTTCATAATCCATAAATTCGAGACATTATGACATTCTTACCCCCAACGATTACACTATAAAAAATAATAATTAAGGGTGATTAAGACTAATCATCTCAAAACACGATTAGACTTATATACCCCTAACAATTAAGAACAAAAAATTTTGAAATCGAGGGTGTTTAGGACATTATTATAGAGATCAACACACGATTAGACTTATATACCCCTAATTACGAAGAAGAAGAAATTTCGAGAAGAACAATTCATTAAGGGTGTTTAGGACAAATCATTCCAACTTTTAACCACAGACCTCCAATGCCCTAACTTTGAATATGGTGTGTTTCTACTTCTCAATTAATTATTGTAGAGATTGGATAGATTGGAATCTTCATTTGGATACCCTGTAATTTTAGGGTATCCGATTGTTGTCAATAATCCCTAATCCCTAAGAAAGTAAGAGCATCCTCATTGGTAAGTCTCTTAATTTGGAATCCTAAACTAATAAATATTAATATTTTAATATAATTCAATTATCTACTTAAAATTAAATATGTAAAAGAAAATTATACCATTCAAGAGTTGGCATTTGTCCATGAAGACTCTTAAAGAAGGATTTATGGGTCCTTAGGGCACACGCAGTAGTACATGTGTGTCTTGGGTGTAAACAGTATTATAATATTATAATAAAGTAAAGAAAGAGAGAAATAGTGAGAGAGATGATAATTTTTGCCTGTCTCCGACCGAGTTTTTGCCTGTCTCCATTCAGCGCTGGCCACGTGCCACTTACACCCCTTGGAGAAAAGTTGCAAGTTTACACCCGTTGCCTCTCTCCAACCTTGTTTTTCTATTATTTTTGTTTTTTTTATTCCTTACACCCGGGTGAAAAGTGCCCCACTGTGTATGGTCTTAAAGAAGGATTCTTCACATTCTCTTTCCAAATTTTTAATATTTTATTATTATTTTTGAGAGAAACCCACATTTAAATCCCCCATTGGGGATGGTCTAATAACTCGAAAAACTATTAGAAATCAAATAACACTTTCCTAATTGAAATGACTAGACACAAATCCATATAAGCCCCAAAACGTGTTTGACCTGGCTATATTCGCAGTGGTCCAACCTGGTTAAGGTCCAATCATTGAGACTAAAAAACATTGAGATGTTACCGTCTTTCATGAGAAGAATGACTCTATGTAGATAAAAAAAAATACGTGTTTGACTCGAAAAAGCACTCCAAAGACCTCAAAACGTACACGTTACGTGAACATCACAAGATTCACAACCATTTTGTTCATAATTTTTGTTTTGTCACCCTATTTGGTTAAGCCATTAAATCCTGGTTTCATTAGTGCTTATATATCAAAATATATTGTAGAATACATATATAAATGTTTAGTAGGCTTAACCTTGATTTCATCATATTATATACAGAACCATAACATCAAGATTTAAAGTACAAAAAAAAGAGAACAAGAAAAATTATGAGAGATTATATTTATTTTTCGCTTGTGATTCCATAAAACAGCCATGGATTTGCTTAATTTTATACTTTGGCTTGTTAAATAGAACTATGACCGTGGGATAACAAATTTGTGTATCTAAAGTATGTTATGCCTGAAGATAACCCTTGTTATCTAAGTATCCGACGACCTTTTCAGCCATTTCGATTGGAGAAGTTCCTGATCCTTCGCGGCCTAGAGAAATCTTCACATGACAAAAAGAAAATAGAACAAAAGGTAAGACAAGTGAATGACTCCAAAAAAGCTCAGCATCAAGATCAAGAACCAAAACATCCCATTCTGTTTTCAAATATTATTGACATTTACCTCGCAGTTCAATGGTGGCTCATAAGGGTCATCGATCCCGGTAAAACCTGAAGAAACATTTCAAACTATAATGTTATTTGGGGTTCTCATTGACAGACACAATTACCAAGAGCATTTCATGAGATACCTTTGATCTTTCCTGCACGAGCAAGCTTGTAAAGACCCTTGGGATCCCTCGCCTCGCAAACTTCAAGCGGTACATCCATGAACACCTATTTGATCAGAACAAATTTTACTCAAATCTTGAAAACTTCAATACCAGACAACAAAACCCGCTCTTTGTTGTCAATACCTCGACAAAATCTCCCTCGGGGAGCAAATTTCGACAAGCGTCCCTGTCTGTTCTATAAGGAGATATCAAACTAGCAATGCAGATGATTCCAGCATCCGCAAAAAGCTTAGCAACCTCTCCTAAACAAATCAATTAGAAACAGAATGTCAACACTAAAGCTCACAACAACAACAACCAATATTCGATTAAAGAGATTATTAAGCTCACCGACTCTACGAATATTCTCTGCACGATCCTCAGCTTTAAAGCTAAGATCACGGTTTAAGCCATGCCTAACATTATCACCATCAAGAATATAACAAAGCTTCCCCTTTTGATACAACATCTGATTCAAAGCACAAGCCAAAGTACTCTTCCCTACAAATTTTGAATCAATGAAACATTAGATTTCACATAGACATAAACCAAACTTGAAGCTTGTTTCTACACGAACCTGAACCACTAAGACCGGTGACCCAAATCACACATCCTTTCTGATCAAGCAATCTCTGTCGATCAACTTTCTCAACAGAACACTCATGCCACTTTATGTTCGTCGAGTTTCCGACCGTAGACAAAGGACCTTGCTTTTGTCCTAATTATACAAAAAAAAACCCATAAAAATTGAATCTTTTTGGCAAATCAAAGCTAAAAGTCGGATTTTTTCTGGGAAATTACGAAGAACGATACATACCCGTGTGACCGTTAATAGATTTAAGCTCAGGAATAAATCCATTTTTGTTATGACTCAGAGTTTGTGATCCATCCATAGAAACACAAGCACGAACAACAACAGCAGATCTTGAATTACTCAATGAATTGCTATCGGAAAGCCCTTTTGGAGAAGCAATCGCAAGCCCAAATAGCGATTTAGCTCCGGCGGCAATCATATTTCGCGGTGGTGGGGGAAATAAAAATCAAAAATCGGATTAAGACAGAAACAAGAAGAAGAAACTAAATTTGTTGTGTCTGAATGTTTTTAATTAGGGAATGAGGAAAATGTGACCGTTAAATAAAAAAAGAAAATTGGAGTTTTTTTTTTTTTATGAGAGGGCGATTAGGTAGGTGAACTGGTGAAAATAAAGGGTTGTTGGCCACGTTTTTATAATCATCTTATTATTTGTGGGAATTATCAAAAAAGGTGCTGTTTTTGTGAACCTTGGGTTTTAAACTAAATGTATTTAATGTTGTTTGCATCCACATTCATAAAAACAGAAAAGTGGTGTAATATATTCGATGAGATACACCAATAGGGTTTGATTGGTTTAAGTTTGAACTCGATTGTTTTTTCGAGCATCCACTCGCAAATTTACATTCCTAAGAACAGAAAAATGGTAAGTATTCGATGAGATATACCAATAGTATGATTGATTTAAGCTTGAGACAGTGTTTTCATGTCTGATCCGTACCATCCGGTCCGACCGGTAAATCTGCAATCCGGACACTACTCCGGTTTAGATTTAGTGATAATATCCATTAATTTAAAAACCAGAAAAACCTATAAAAACTTATATTCCCTCCGTTTTATATTAAGTGCCGTTTTAGATTTAAAATTTTGTTACAAAATAAGTGTCGTTTTGTATTTTCAATGTAGATGTTTGTAAAAAATTTCAGTTTTATCCCTACTTTATTAATGTGCTGGCCAATGAAATTTTTTGTATAATATATTAATAAGGGGTAAAACAGAAAATTTAATAGTTTTCTTAATAAGCGTGAGAAAACCTTAAACGACACTTATAGTGAAACAGAGGGAGTATATGATCTGCGACCCGGTGAACCGGCCAGATAACGATTCCCGAGAATTCACTAAATCGTTGGTTAATTTCGTTGATTGGTTTAAGTTTGACCTTGATTGATTTTCCATAACAATTTGTAAAATGTAGAGTTTGCCAAATGTTGCTATCGTTTGATTACTGTATTCATGCGTAAGAGAACATAGTAATGGAGAAGGTAATAGCCGAAATAGGATTCGTTTTAACTATATAAATCGTTTTAAATCATTTTAACAATTATAAAAAGGGAGACTCACAAAAATGCCCCTTTTTCAATACCCCTTTTCAAAAATGTCCCCTTTGGCTGTCCATTTTTAAAAATACCCTTTTTTATGTACAAAATGACTAAATTACCCTTCTTTTAATAAAAGATATCACAAATATATAAGGAAATATAACAAAATTAGGTTCACAGAATACAAAATATTTTTTGGCGAGAAAAGTGATCCCGCAATTTTCCCGCCAAAACACTTGTAAAAACCTTTAAAATACCTTGTAAAATTTCTCCGTAAAATTTTTTCCCGCCAAAAAATTTTTTTTGCGGGAAAAGTGATTCCGCAATTTTTTTGGCGTTAAATTTTGGCTGGAAAATTTTACAAGGTATTTTAAAGGTTTTTTACAGGGTATTTATAAGGTTTTACAATGTATTTTAAAAGGTTTTACAACGTATTTATAAGATATTATAAGATTTTACAAGCTATTTTATAAGGTTTTACAAGTTATAAGGTTTTACAAGTTTTTTATAAGGTTTTACAAGTTATAAATACCTTATAAAACTTTATAAGTACCTTGTAAAACCTTTTAAAATACATTGTAAAACCTTACAAAACACTTGTAATAGGTTGTAAGTGTTTTGTAAGTGTTATACTCCGTTATAAATACATTGTAAAACCTTGGCGGGAAAATTTTTTGGCGGGAAAAATTTTTACGGGAAAATTTTACAAGGTATTTTAAAGGTTTTTACAAGTGTTTTTGCGGGAAAATTGCGGGATCACTTTTCCCGCCAAAAAATATTTTGTATTTTGTGGACCTAATTTTGTTTCAAATAAGGGTAAAATGGTCATTAAAAATTAAAAGAGGGCAAACTTAAAAATGAACTCTCAAAGGGGGCATTTTTGAAAAGAGGTATTGAAAAAGGGGCATTTTTAACAATTTTACTTTGATCTGTTTAAAATCGCTAAATTTCAAAATTTAAAATACCTTTTCCGCTTGCGTTTACTGTAATAGGCGGTTACAATAGTAATTAAAATTAACAAAAATAAGAGAAAAAATGAAAAAAAAAATATTCCTTTTATCAAATATTATCATATCAAAATTTTAAATACTTTATATATATATCAAGTAAACTAATAGATTTATAACTATAAAATATTTCTTGCATAAAAAAAGTTCCAACCATTTAAAAATATTTTTAGTTAGTTATTCCATTATTTTATTATAATAATACATTTTTTACTTTTTAATATAAATGATTTATTATGTCTTTTTGGTAATTTTTATGTTTAACCACTACTACAACCGTTGTCGACCAGTTACAAATCATCCGCAAACGTACTCTTATCCAATCGTTTACTAGTCATTCAAATCACTTAATAACTATTAAAACCGCAACCACACACTTCTTCAAACTTCGACAACCGCATTTAGACCCAATATGTTTAAACTAATCATGCCGTAAATTGCATTATCAAATAAGTGATGACCTAATGGTAATACAACAAATTGATTTAGTACGGAAATTAATCAAAATATTTAAAATTTGAGTCTTAGTACTAAAAACATATGGGTCGAAAATCTGTAATTCCAACATTTTATAGAAAACGAAACAGAAAAAAAGAATCTAAAAGAAAAAAAAAAAAAAAACAAAGTTTCAACGTTTTATGTAATTTATTAGGCCCACCAATATGGGAGAACTGTGGTAGAGTTTTGGTGTCTGGTCTAGATTAGAAAAATGGTTCAATAGTCAATTTGAGTTGTTTTTGACCGGACTCGTCAATTCATCAGTCTGAGCCAAATGACTCAATCATCCTTTTATTTAGAGGGCATTATGTTAAACGGTGTCGTTTGGTTAAGCTAAATGTACTTAACCTGGATTTGCATCCAGATTCCTAAGATTAGAAGAAAAAGAAAGTGGAACATAATCGGGAGATGCACTAACTAAATTTAAAAGTTGTATGTAATTTATTCGGTCACCAATATGGAAATGGTGTTCAGATTAGAGAAATGAGAAGATTCTTACCAATGGGTTGAGATTGAATTTTTATTTTTTTTTTCATCTGAAATTAATTAGAATTCAAAAAATTCATTCCTGAAAAATGTTGTTTATATGAAACTGAAAAATGTTGTTTATATGAAGCGGTTGAGATTGTATTGTTTCATATGCATATGTGTGCTTTTGTTTTTGCTTATCCAATTAGGAATAATTTATGGGACGTGGGGCCTGATTGGTAACAGCTGTAGCTTTACAATTTTTGATGTATAAATATGACTGTAGGTTTATTTGCTGTGGCTGTAGATTTTATTGCTGTAGTATTTTGGCTGTAGAATTTTAAATTTTAAATTTTAGAAAGTTGGAAATTATGTCTTTAGGAAAAAGGATTTCTACAGCCAAAAAAATGAATTAAGGAAATATTTTGGCTGTGAGAAAAAAAAAAGAAAGCCAAAACTTCTAAAGCTTGATTTGATGTATTTCAAATCTTTAGAAATTTTTTTGCTTTGTAAAGACTCTAAAGCACTTGCCAATCAGGCAGGTAATTTCCATGAAATAAGTACAACCATACTTGGTTTAAAGATACCATCTTAATTCCTCATAAATTTGTTGTGATCGGCTTTTAACACATTTAATTAGTCATATTCAACTATTACGTAACCTCTCTGGTCTCCATGATAATTGTTTTGAGACTATGAAAAAGATTTCGCAATATGGCAACCTATGAGAAATTTCACTAAGAATGAGTGACCAGATTAATACAATGGCTTAATTGTTACCTTTCATCGACGTCGCTTATCTAATACAGATATCTCAAATGATCTGCAGCCTGCAGATATAATTAACCACTTGAGTTGGTGAGTGAATGATTCATTTTGTTCGTGTTTAATGCATCCACCATTAATACTTACAAATCTAAAACGTGAAATATAATTAATAGGAAAAATGTTTATCAGCTACACGAACGAGACGTCATCACATCGTCACACATGCAGACTTTAAAAATGTTTCGTTAGCTACACGAATTATTGTTATCACATACGGACATCCCCGAACTAACATAAGTCATGTTGCAAACACCATAACCATCTAATTCCAGTGTACCGGTTGCCGGAATCCGGCGTTGACCACGTTGACCGACGTTGACCGGCGTTGACCAAAAATATTTTTTTCTTTTTATTTATTTTTGATAAAAAAAAAAAAGAAATTTGAAAAAAAAATAAATTATTAAGTAATTTTACTTAAAAATATAACAAAATATAGCAAAAATAAATATACCATTAAAAAATTATACAACAAAATTTTTCTATATATTTTTGTAATATAACTAAATATACCGAAAAAATAGACCATAATTTTTTTCTTGTGCTATATTTTTTAATATAATTTGTGTAATATGAATTTATAAATTTTTTGTAATATAACTAAATATACAAAAAAATAGACCATAATTTTTTTCTTGTGCTATATTTTTTTCATGTGCTATATTTTGGTTACAAAATATACCTTTTTCCTTTTGGCAATCATTTTCTTATAATT